AACATCTGTTATCTGAAATACTTCAATTGGTATACCATCTATTCCTGGGGCCTTATTTTTTGCTATTTCCTTCAAAGCAGCTTGAACTTCTTCCTTCTTCACCACAGGCTCTTGCTCATATGTTATTTCTTTAAATTCCTCTGTATCTGCCAATTCCTTTCGATAAAAAAAAAATCTATTAGCCATGCACAGTGGCTCCCAGGTTGCAGGTAAAATAGACTTCAACCTGGTATACGCACTCTTAGTGATTTTTGTGACATTCATAGCCTAAGATATTGGAGGAGAATAAACATGTAAACAAACACAGAATGCATATGTCTATGTAAAGAAACAACTTGACACCTTGGTTCTATTTTACTTTTAATGTGTGATTTTTTTCAGATACTGGTTTGATGATTTTTTTTTCACTTATAGGAGAGCTTAGTCCTTGGAGAAGGACATTATACTCAGAGGAGTGAAGGGACAGCATAGGAGAGGAAGACCCCGAATGAGATAGTTTGATACAGGGCGTTGGTGTGTCAGAATTAGTGAGACTCTCTCAGGACAGGACGGGGTTCAGAGCTGCTTTACATAGGGTCGCAAGTGACTCAATGGCACATAACAACATAGAGAGTTTAGAATATTTATGAGTTTTCAAGGATGACAAATTTTAGCAGCTTAAACGTGTTGTTTTTTTCTATGAAATTTGTGGAATTACTACTTTTATTTATTTTTTACCTCTTTTATTTTTGAGATCCCACATTTATTTAGGGTTGGTATATTCCCCAGGAATAAGAAGCACAACAATCTGTTCACTACATATATTGAAAAAGAACAGTGTACTATTGTTTTCTGAATTAGTTTTACTTTTTATTAAGTCTGCAGTAACTTAACTGCTATGGAGTCAGTTTTGACTCAAAATATCTATCTTTACAGGAGAAGATGGTGCATCTTTCTCCCATTGAGCACCTGATGAGACCTATTTCTCCACATTGTACATAGGGTTGCAAGTGACTCAACAGCACATAACAACAACATCATAGGTTACAGAGTTTAGAATACTTATGAATTTTCAAGGATGACTCTAATAACAAATTTTAGCAGCTGGTGTTGTGCATTAGATGCTGGGCTGCTAACCAAAAGATTGGCAGTTCAAATCCACTAGCTCCTTTGTAGGACAAAAGTGCAGATCTCCTTCTGTAGAGACCTACAGTCTTGAAAACCCCAGGGAGTGTCTAGAATCAACTTGAGGGCAGTGGATTATGTTACTCGAATTGTTGTTAATATTGTGCTCTGATGGAATAGTGGGTAGGGAGTTGTTCTTCAATCACAAAGGCCTCTCATCTCTGGTGCTTCGAAACCACTAGTGGTTCCATGGGAGAAAAATGGACAGTCTCCTCCTATGTGATTTACAACCTCTGGAAACCTGCTGGAAGGTCTGCTTTGAGTTGGTTCTGACTTGATAGCAACAAGTTTGAGGGATTTTTAAAAATTGCTATTATATTGTAAAAAGTATCAGAAAAGACTTGACAGAGACCTACCAGAAATACAGGCTGTGTTTAGAAGAGGTGATGGCACTGGGGACATTATTGCCAATGTCAGGTGGATCTTGGCAGAAAGCGGGGAGTCCCAGAAGAATGTCTATCTGTCATTTCATTGACTGTGCAAAGGCATTTGACTTTGTGGATCACAATAAATTGTCGCTAACCTTGAGGAAAATGAGAATCTCACAACACTTGATCGTACTTATAACAAACCTATACTTGGACCAAGAGGCAGTTCTCAGACAGAGCAAGGAAACACTGCATGGTTCAAAATCAGGAAAGGAGTGGGTCAGCGAAGCATCCTGTCCCTGCATCTTTTCTATCTGTAAGCAGAACAGATCAATCTAGAAGCAGGGCTTTATGAGGAGGAGTGTGGCATCAAGATTGGAGGGAGACTCATTAACAACATACAATATGTAGATGACACATCTTCCTTGCTGAAACTGAAGAAGACCTGAAATACTTGCTGCAAAAGGTCAAGGACTGTAGTCCTCAATAAGGATTGAAGCTCAACATCAAAAAGACAAAGATTCTCACCACTGGCCCAATTGGTAGCACTATATTAGCTGGAGAAAAGATGGAGGTTGTTAGTAATTACAGCTTGCTCAAATCCATAATCAACACTCTTAATACCAGCAGTCAGGAAATAAAAAAAAATGAATTGCATTGGGAAAATCTGCTGTCATGGACCTCTCCAGACTGCTGAAGAGCAACAATGTCAGTCTAGATACAAAGGTGTGCCTAATCCAGGCCATGGTCTTTTCAATTACTTGTTATACTTCAGAGAGTTGGACAATGACTAAAGATGACAGAAGAATAAATGCCTTTGAGTTGTGGTGCTGGAGAAGAATCTTGAACATATCATAAACTGCCAAGAATACAAATAGATCTGTCTTGAAGAGGGTGAAACCAAGTCTCTCCTTGCAGACTAGGATTTTGTAGTTCTGCCTCACTTACTTTGGGCATGTGGCCAGGAGAGATCGGTCCTTGGAGAAGGACATCATGCTCAGAAGGGTGGACGGACAGCGCAGGATAGGAAGACACCGGATGAAATGGGCAGTGGGGTTTGGTGTGTTGGAGTTAGTGAGACTGGCTCAGGACAGGGAAGGGTTCAGAGCTGCTGTACATAGGGTCACTATACCTCGCAGGCGACTCAATGGCACCTAAAAAAATAACATACTATAGCAGGTTTGGAAGTAGGAGTGGCATCCACTTCCTAAACAACTTGCCTCTGGAAACTCTCTGAACTTTGATAAATGTGGATAGTTGTAGAGGGGCTTCAGGCCTTTTATTCATAGGGTTGCTATGAGTCATTCTCGACTTGAAGGCAATCAACAACATTTTTTTATAAATTATTATTAAATTTTATTAGTTTTCATGAACATTTACAGAGATTTTGGGTTTTCATTCAACAACATTTTTGTTGTTGTTGTTACCTAAATGCATTTTTAGAGAATCAACGAGAAGGGAGATTTATGAGCAGGCCTAGCCCAATGAACCAGACTCAAAAAGTGCATCTCCTCTGTGTATTTGATGGGAGAGCTCACAAAATAAGGAGGCATGTCAGAAACTGCACTCTATTATATTGGGGTGGAGTTAACCCTAGGATTTACTTTTTATTTACTTGTTTTCCTATTTCACGTACCACATATGATCTGATAGAACCTACTTAACCTCTCTAATTCTAAGATCTCTAAGATCTCCAGACTGCTGAAAATTTAAGCTGTCATCTGTGCACACAAATCACAAAAACTCTCAAGATTTAGTGATATATTCTGAAAACAGTCTATAATTAATGTCCATTTTTATAATTGAACCATTAACAAACTGCACTGTAATGCCAAAGGCATTTGATCGAAATCCATGAGCTGCTCTGCGGGAGAAACACGGGCAGTCTCCTCCGGTGTGATTTACCGCCTTGGAAAAGCCCCTGGAGGGCCAGCTGTGGGTCAGTTCTGACTGTATGGTACATGACAACAACATTATACTATAAGGGAGCTCTGACAGCCTGCTGGTACCGAGTTGCACTGCAAATCCAAGGTTCAAATCCGCTAGCTGGTCTGTGGAAGAAAGAGGCGCAGCCTCTGATGTGTTTTACAGCCTCTGAAAACTTGTAGGAGGGCCAGTTATGACTCAGTTTCAACTCAACATAGCATATAACAACAATAACAACTTATAAAACTGGTGAGTACTGGGTACTAGTGGTACTAGGATACGAGACACAAACTCTTCTCCTCTAGGTATTAACCAATCTTATTTACGCCTCACATCTATACAGCAATATCAGTGTTTTCACTCTTAGTTTTACTAAAGGGAAAAGTAAAGCTCTAAGAAGTGAGGTAGATGCCTGGAAAATCTCACAACTATGCCGTGGTTTAAACTCAGATTTGTGTATTTTTTTTATCATCTAAAGGAAGCCCAAAAGTTGAGGAAAGACAGATACTGTAAAGAGGCTAAATAAATGCTTACCGTTTCTAAAAGAGAATCTTGAATCTCTTGAGTTTTGACCAGGTTCACAAGATAGAGTACAGCATCATGGACGGTCAAAAAGAAAATGTCTTTCCTAATGTTCTCATCAAAGAAACCACACTGCTCCAGCTTCTGTATGAGGTGGTCTTCAACGGAAAGAGACAAGATAGAGTGTTGCATTAGTTTCTCAGAAAAGATTTTTTTCTAACATTCACAGTAGTTTTTTTTTTGCATTGTATTATGGTTTAGGTACTAGGGATATTATAGCTAATGTTAGGTGGATTTTGAGAAGAAAGCAGAGAATACCAGAGGAATGTCTATCTGTGTTTCATTGACTATACAAAGGCTTTTGGCTGTGTGGATCGCAACAAACTGTAGCTGACTCTGAAAAGAATGGGAATCCCAGAACATTTAATTGTTCTTATGTGAAACCGTATTATACTTGAACCAAAAGGCAGTCATCAGAACAGAGCAAGGAGACACTGCATGGTTCAAAATCTGGAAGGATGTTCACCAGGGATTTATTCTATCTCCATACCTTTTCAATCTGCATGCAGAACAGATCATCCAGGACACTGGGCTGTTCAAGGAGGAATGTGGCATCAGAATTGGGACAATTCATCAACAATCTGCTTTATGCAGATGACACAGCCCTGCTTGCTGAAACTGACGAGGACCTGAAGCACTTGCTGCGGAAGATTAAGGACTGCAGCCTTCAATATGGATTGAAACTCAACATCAAGAAAATAAAGATTCTCACCACTGGGCCAATTGGCAACATCATTATGGATGGTGAAGAGATTGAGATTATGAACAGTTTTAGTTTGCTTTATTCCACAGTCAACACTCTTGATACCAGCAGCCAGGAAATCAAAAGACAAATTGTTTTGGGAAAGTCAGCTGTCAGAGACCTCTCCAAAGTACTGAAGAGCAATGAAGTCAAGCTGGAGACTAAGGTGTGCCTGATCCTGGCAATAGTATTTGCAATTGTGTGCTATGCATTGGAGAGCTGGACAGTTACTAGGGATGATAGAAAGAGAATTGATGCCTTTGAGCAGTGGTGTTGGAGGAGAGTGTTCAATATACCATGGACTGCTAAGAGAACAGACAGGTCTGTCCTGGAGAGGGTTAAGCCAGAATGCTCCTTGGAATCAAGGATTCTGAAGCTTCATCTGACATACTTTGGACATGTTGCAAAGAGGGACCAGTCCTTGGAGAGGGACATCATGTTTGGGAGGGTGGAGGGTCAGCACAAGACAGGAAGACCCTTAATGAGATGGATCAATTCAGTGATTGAGTAGTGGGAGTCGATGTGTCAGAGACAGTGAGGTTGGCACAGGATAGAGCAGGGATTAGGGCTCTTGTACCTAGGGTCACTATGAGTCGCAAGCTACTTGATGGCACATTACAACAATGTTATGTTTTAAGTGGAAGTTTACAGAGCAAATCAGATTCTTATTCAACAATTTATATACATTAAAAACAATTATGCAGAGCTCAGTGAAATGGCCACTACCAGTCAAGGAAACTCTGAGGAACATTTTGAGTCATTGGACCTTGCAGAATTTGCTACAAAGGTAGCCATGGATGCAAGCTGTTGAACAAGCATCTGGGTCTTCTGCTGAAAAGGACAGCGCAGACACCCAGCTGCTCATTGGACTTGTCACTGGCTGGTGCACGGGTTTCATCTTCCAGAAGGTTGGGAACTTGGTGGCAACAGGTGTGGGTGGTGGATTTTTTTTTCTCCTCCTTCAGATTGCAAACTATACTGGCCACTTCAAGGTTGACTGGCAACAAATAGAGATGGACATGAAGAAAGCCAGGGAGCAACTGAAAATCCAAAAGAGTAATCAGATCCCCAATGAAGTCCGGTGCAAAGCCGAGGAGGTGGTGTCATTTGTGAAGAATGTCCTTGGACTGGGGGATCTTCTGGAGGCTTCCTCCTGGGCATGGCATCCCAAGGCAGGCAACTTCACCTCCATGTTGCTGGATGGCTTTTCTTCCATCATTCATCAGAATAAGCGGGTTGTGTTTTTTAAACCAGAAGCCTCTGCACTCCCTCCAGGAGATTGAGTCTCTCCCTCTCCTCCTCTCCTCCCTGCACTGACAGAAAGGAATCGATTTCTGCTAATTCACATTAACTCAGTAAGGACGTAACTTGAACTTGACTGATGATGGAAGAGATAATACATTCATCTCCCAGCACACTCCACATGTGGCTGGTCTCGGTCGACCAGAATGTTTCTTTTCCCTATGTACGATGCAGCATGGCTCACCAAGGAGGAGGAAGAGATCCTCAAATGATTTCATAGGGGAATAGCAAGAACAAAACAGCAGTTTGCTCTTACGTGCAACATGGAAACCAACTGAATAAATTTCCTTTTACACATAAAAGAAACCCCCAAAAAAAACAAAACCAAAAAAGCCCAACCAAACAATTATACACGTTTTGTTTTGGGATAATTAGGTGCAACTCCCTGAACACAGCAGCATGCTACCCACTGCCTTCCTGGGTTCCCTCTTGCCATTTGCCCATTTTTGCTGTCCCATCTTTGTTTTGGGGCAAATGCTCATTTTTTGGTCTTGGATGGCTGATTGCTCTTAGCAGTAAGTTCCTTACACGTGCTACTTTTCACTTCATGGGCCTGTCTTGGGTTTGACTGAAAAATGACCCCAGAGTTGTTCTCAGTTCAGGTTTCGAGGTCATAATCTTGAAGGGATTCCATGAGTCTCTAGTTGATCAGTGAATCCGGGGTTTTTTAAAGATTTTTCATTTTTGTTCTATATTCCCCCCCGCGCCCCACTCTGTCCAGGACATTCTCTTGTGATCTTAATTAGTCAGTACTGGTTTCTGGACACTATGGGCTTACCCTAAGGAAATTAACCCAAAATATGATTGATTTCACTCAGCACAATCACCTTCAGTTTTATCCGAATTGTATAATGGTTTGCAGATTCATTATTTTTTTAACAGTATATTTTTTTTCATTCTAATCATGTACCATAGTTTATCCATTCATTTATTGATGATGGCTTCGGTTGAAAAGTACTACATTTTTATAATTCTATTAATTTGTTTTTCCCCAAGGATGCTGCAGCTCTAAATAAGGCTATTTTGCAGAAGCACATAGGAGTGGCTGGAGTGGGAGGTCTTGGTACCCTAACACATTGACTTGGCAGGCTGATGCTCTGTGCTCCCCTGCTTGGAGCCTGGCTGCTAGTGGCTCACAGCTGTGCCCTCTTCTGGAGTGTTTTCACCAGAAAATGCCTGGAGATTACACTCCCACAGCCAGGTGGCCTGTGGCTGGTGTCTTACGGGAAGGGACAAAGGCCTCAAGAAGAAATAGGCCTCGTGGGCTCTTCCCGCTGTGGGTAGCCTGTGAGATGAAGCTCAGGAAAGCATGTGCTCACCCATATTCACCCCCGACCTATCCTGTTCTTTCCCCTCACTTTTATTTTTTCTGGAGTGAACTCTTTCAATACATCACTTGTACAAGAATTCCTCACCCCAAGCTCTGCCTCTACACACTGGTATTTTCCTACATGCATGTGTTATACACAGATAAATGCCCAGATCCGCACCTTTGTGGAGCCTCTTATACTAAGGATCTAAACCATTCAACTCTGAATCTTATCTATGATAAAGTTTATTTACCATAGCATTTAACTATGACAAAATTTCCTTATTGGTCCAGTGTGGCACAAACTTGAAGTCCTTGGTATATTAGAAAAGGCCTTCAGATATCATATGCTGGGTTCTACTTTAGAGTGTGTGTGCGTGTGTGTGTGTGTGTGTGTGTGTGTGTGTGTGTGTGTGTGTGTGTCGTGTGTGTGTGACAGAGAGAGCAGCGCGAGCATGAGCGCATTTACCTTGAAGCGATGAGAAGTACACATTCACACCAATTCTTTGGAATTCTTTGACAATCTGGCGGGTTAAAGGAAATAGTTTGAAACAATGAGTGATTCCATTTGCACAAAATTCACTAGCATGTAATCATTTGCTAAATATTTTCATGGTTAACTTGGTTTTTGAAGAAAGTTCATTACTGGGGGAAAGTTCATTATTAGAAAACATAGAAGAGAGGTTTCAGTTTATTGTGATGGTGTGATTAGTAATGAAAGGATCCCTATTTCAAGAGGTGGTAATGTCCATAGCACAGCAGCCTATCAGACAAAGATGCTTAATAAATATTTGTGAAAAGAAAAACTTCCTATAATGTCCCCTGCTGGTTGGAAAAAGAACATGAGTTTATAGTTTTGTAAGTTGTTACGACTGCAGGAAACAGGGTTAAGGTTATACAGGCTCTCTCTGCATTCTTTCAACTAAAACTATCTTTAATATATAAAGACACAAAAGCTAAGGGCAATAATAAAAGTGAAGGAGAAACTGAGGATGGGGTGGGGACTAAGGCCCCTAGTAAAGTTTAAGGTTTGCAGTTTTCTTTAGTTTATAGTAGTCATTTTAGAATTGGTAGCAATTATTTTCAAAGTATGAGAAATACTCTGTCTTTAAATATATCAAGATTCTCTCCCCAAAACCAAATGATGAAATCAGTAAGCCAATACTATTTAAAGCAAGGCCTGGTGGCCTAGTGAGCCAGGGGTTATGCTGTTAAGGTGGCCTCTCGCTGGTGGTTTGACTCCACCAACAGCTCTATGGGAGAAACATGCACAAACTCCTGCTGTGCAGCGTCTGAAAACCCACTGGAGCATGAGCTGTAAGTCAGTCCCAACTCTGGAGCAATGAGGTTTACTTGTTTTTGGTTTTCCTTTTTAAGTCAGCTGTGAGTCTGAGCCAATGTCTAGAGGAAATGCACAAGGAAGAGCAAGTGAGATGGCAGCCAGGCGGGCAAAGACACCTGGACCAGAACCAGACAGCCTATTCCCCCACCCCATCACCAAATGCAATCAGTCCCTTACTTTCCCTGCCTATGGCCCACATCCTGGAAAAAGAAGAGTTGACAAGAAGCCCCTGCTAAGCTAAACATCAGTGAGGGGTCGGTTTCACATTATTGCATAAGATAGCTGGTATGTTGGGCCTGCTTAAATTTCTAGATAATAACCAAGCCTTAGGCGTACTTACTGAAGAGCAACTGTGTCAGTCTAGAGACTAAGGTGGGCCTGATTCAGGCCATGGCCTTCACAATTAATTGCTATGCATCAGAGAGTTAGACAATGACTAAGGGTAATAGAAGAAGAATCAATGCCTTTGCGCTGCAGTGCAAGAGAAGAGTACTGAATATACCATGGACTGCTAAGAGAAAAAAAAACAGTTCCACCCTGGAGAAGGTGAAACCAGGCTGCTCCTTGGAGTAAGGATTTTGAAACTCTGTCTTACACACTTTGGGCATGTCACCAGGAGGGACCAGTTCTTGGAAAGGGACATTATGCTTGGGAGGGTGGAGGGACAGCGCAAGAGAGGAAGACCCTCGATGAGATGGATTGACTTAGTCATTGGGGTAATGGGGGTAGATCAAGGACAATGAGGTTGGCTCAAGACAGAAGAGGGTTCAGAGCTGTTGTACATAGGGACGCTATGAGTCACAGGTGAATCGACGGAACATAACAACAACAGGAGTCCTTGGTTGATGAAAACAGTTAACACTCTTGATTGCTAATGGAAATATTCAAGTGCACCCAGAGGCATCTGAGAGGGGAGGTATGTGGTCTGCTTATGAAAACCTAGTGACTGAAAGCCCTATGGGGCACAGTTCTCCTCTGACTCACACGGGTTTGTCATGAGGAGTCGGAATCGACTCAAAAGCAACTGGCTTGTTTTTAACTGAAACTTAAAGTAAGCTTGACATTGCTGGTAATATCTTATTTAATTAGCTTTGAAGCTCTTAATATATTGCTATTAATAAGGTTACTTCCCCCTATATTGCTTAATACCATAAAGGGGACTAAATCAAACTATGATAAATCTCCACTGCCACGGAATGCACTTGTACAAATCAAGAATTTTAAAAAAACAATACCACATTAATGACCTGGAGCTGGTTTAACTAGATTTCTGGTACCACTAATGTTCTAACACCACATCCACTTCAGCTTTTCCTTGCACTTCCTCCATTTCCAGCCTGTTTTCTGCTCAAATGCTTGAGAAAGCTTGACTATCTCAGACCTGCCATGTACCTGCCTGGTACTCTTTATCCTGCTACTGTTCACACAGCAAAAAGAAATGCAACACTTAGCACAAATTTTTGCCCACTTTTATCTTTTTTTATACTCCACTTTCCTTGGAGAAGGACATCATGCTCAGAAGGGTGGACAGACAGCACAGGAGAGGAAGACCCCAGATGAGATGGATTGATATAGTAATTGGAGCAATGATTGTTGGTGTGTCGGAATTAATGAGACTGGCTCAGGACACAGAAGGCTTCAAAACTGCTGTACACAGGGTTGCTATACATCACAGACTACTCAATGGCACAGAACAACAATAACATACTATGACAGGTTTGGAAGCAGGAGTGGCATCCACTTCCTAAGCATCATGCCTCCGGAAACTATGAACTTTGATAAATGTTGAGAGTTGTAGAGGGCTTCAGGCCTTTTGTTCATAGGGTCGCTATGGGTCATGCTCAACTCGAAGGCAATCAACAACAACAACAAGTGATCCTTGGAAGCAAGGATGGTGAGGCTTCATCTCATACTTAGGGCATGTTGTTAGGAGAGCCTGTCTCTTGGAAGGGGAATGCATGTGTGGAAAGGAGAGGGTCAGCAAAAGAGATGAAGATCTTGAACCAAATGGATTAATACAGTCATGGCAACAATGAGCTCGAATGTGTTGGGGGAGGTAAGGATGGCACAGGATAAGTCAAGCTTCAAGTCTGTTGTTCATAGGGTCCCTGTGCAGCATACTTGACTAGACAGTACCTAACAACAGCAGCAACATGTATTCATAGAAAAAAAAATATTAAATGTTACTACTTACTGAGAGAGGACTATACACCAGATATTTTCCTAAGCACTTTAGACGCATCAGCGGGTATCATTTTTCTTAACAACCCTCTTAAGTAGATACCATACCATCACTGCTCTCGTTTTTCAGATGAAGAAATTGGGATTCTAAATGACTTGTCTATGTTCGCCTTGCTAAGTAAATGGCCAGAACTCACATCTAAAAAGCCATAGCTTCAGACCCCATGCTTTAAAGGACTATACTTTGTTATGGTCATTTGCCTTTGAGTTGGAACTCACTCGACCTCTCCAGCAGGTTTCCAGAGGCAGGAAATCACACGGGAGGAAACTGCCCATCCCTCCGCCATGCAGCATCTGGCGGATAAAAACTGAGTGCCTTTGAAATTGCTAGCACTACCACAAAAAACATTCCCATAAAAATTACCAAACCTTACCATTCTCAACGATCTCACGCCAACAACATCCAAGAACGACACAGCGCCACAGTCGAGCACAAGACTATGGATTGGAACTTTCGGAACGTTCACTTTGACTGGAAGATCAGAATTCCAATCCACTTGAATCTCTATTTCTCTGGTTGGGATGTCAAGTTCCTCCGGATCTTCAATATCATCATCGGCCTCAAATGCACTGTTTGACGCGGCAGCATCACTTATAATGCCATTCTAAACAAGGAAAACATTGCCAACTTCAGTACCATTGCTATTTGGAATGTCTTTCAACAATTAATTTCAAATGACTTAACAAGTCTTACACACACTTCCTGAGAAGAAAAACAAACAAAAACATCAAAAGGATGAACTCCCAAGGAATGAGTTTATGTCAGTTCAAATGCTGATATTCTCTAGGAAGAAAACTGGAAGAACAGAGAAGTCAGAATTTATGGGAGATTGTGGAAAACTAATGAATCACGTGAATTTACTCTCTGAAAGTCTGTGGAAAATTGCCACAATACACTGTCAGAGGAGTCTGCATTAAAGGGAAGGATTCTAAGAGTTTATGAACTTCCAGCCTTCTGTTGTGAGAGAATTTCTGGCCTTGGGTTATCACTTATTTCCTTTCAATAAACACAAATTGTAAAGGTTTAACACGGCAAAAAAGGTTAGCTAGGAGGCTTCTAAGGCAGTTCATTGATATGAACAGTAGAGGACAATCTGGAAAAGGAGACTGTGAAAGGCTATAACCATCACTGATGTAATCAATGCAATGAATCGTATGCACAGAAATGGTTGTGCTGGTATGGTTCTGTTGTGTTTCCAACAACACAAATAAATTATTTTTAAAATAAATAACATTTTTTTACAGCATAGATACTGCTTGTGATTAAAATATAAAGAAGAAAAAAAAAACACAACCCAACAAACTTATGCTCTGTTTCCAGGCAACTCTGCTGACTTCTTTCATTCTGCTTCCTCCTACCCTCATGCATACAAGAACATCACAGCTGTTCTCTTGTATACATATGCCATCTGCTTGTGCACATCTGGCTTCCAAAGGGGGTATATTTAATTTTAGACCATCTAGCTGCTTTCATCAGAGATAAGAATTGAAAGAGGAAAAAGCTCTTTCCTCACCTTTGTTGCTCTTAATTGTCCTTTCTTGATGAGTTTCTGTATTTTCTTCAGTGCTTTCAGTCTCTTATTATACACTCGAATAGCATCAAATCCAACCTTTGGAAAGAAATGCCAAGTTATGTAAAAGGTCTGGTTCCTAATAGTCATGAATGGTAATTGCTAGCCAGAAAGAGTATTTCTCACAGGGTATTATCCTGGAGACATTTTGTCAAAAAAAAAAAAAAAAAAAGGAAAGAGAGGGAATGGATTGTGAAGTCTGATGGAGCAAATTTCTCCCCTATCAGAACACCCTACCGTACTGCATTCCCAGAGATTCAGAGAATATATCAGCATATTAAAGGATCTAAGACAGTAAAAAAACAAAACAACAAAAAATTAATCTCTATCACTTTAAGGCTGTGTTTTCCAAAGTTTCTTGATATCACAGAGCCCTTTTGTTATTGCAAAATCTAGGAACATTTTCCTTAAACCAGTTTGCCCTGGAACACACTTAGGAAAATACTGACCTAGAGGTAAATTCCAAGTTTGAAGCAGACAGTGACATTCAAGACCAGAATTTCCTGTTTATATATTCTAGCATATTTTACTGTTTACTATAACCAGACAACGCTCTCCTACCTACCTGTTCCCATATCTTTCCCTCAGCTCACATAGCTCTCTAGCACCTCCTTTTACCCTAATGTTACCAAAACTTAGTCAAACTAATATAGATCTCTCTATAAATTCTTCAGGGAGCTGTGGCAGCCTAGTGGTAAGAAGCTGTGCTGCAATCCCAAAGGCACACAGTTCTAATCCACCAGCTGCTCTGCAGGAGGATGAGCAGTCTCCTCCTCTGTGATTTACTGCCTCTGAAAATCCACTGGAGGGTCAGCTATGAGTTGGTTCTGACTCCAAAGTACACAACAACAGTGCCTATTGAGGAGCTCTGGTGACTTGGCAATAGGAGTTTCATCGCCAACCCAAGGGTATGTGGTTTGAATTAACCAGCTGCTCCAACCAACAAAGAAAGATGAGCAATCTCCTCCTATGGATTTACTGCCTCTGAAAACCCACTGGAGGGTTAGCTGAGTCAGTTCTGATTCAATAGGACACAACAACAATGCCTATAAAGTTGTCATATGGTTTATCCTAATTCATGACAACTCATATAGGTCAGGGAACTGTGCCCCATTACATTCTCAAGAGTTGATTATTAAAAGTACGTTGTCAGTGTTTCTTCTGAAGTGTTGCTGGCCAAGCATGTCAATCATTCATGCCACCCAGGAAATCATACAATCTATAAGGTTTTTAGATGCCATCAGACCAAATGCACAAGAGATCAAAACACTGTCCTATCCTATACTATCTTCATAACGGCTGCTGTTCTTAAGCCATTGCTGCAGGCACTGTGTCAATCCATTTAATTGTCTTCCTTGTTTTCACCGATTCCCTATTCTACTGAAGTTTTTGTTGTCATTATTGTTATGTGCCATCAAGGAGTCAGGCTCAAACTCATAGCTGACCTTCCAGTGAGGTTTTGTAGGCTTAGAAATACATGGAAGGAGATTGTCCGTGTTTCTGCAGCACAGCAGCTCATGAATTTGATCTGTGTGCCTTTGGGATGGCAGCACAACTCCTTTAACACTAGACTGCCAGAACTCCCTGATGTACTTCTATTTTATAAATGAGCTGAAGATGGCCTGCATGTATTGGTACCATGTTGCTTATTTATTTATAGAAAGTTGAGGCCTGTTAGCACTAACGAGCCCACTGGCACAAAACCCAAATTTGTACACATTTTAAAAAAATATAAATAGCCCCAAAATAAGATTTTCAGTCACATAAAGCCAGACGAAGGTGAATCTGAACCAGAGTATTTCATTTACATAATATGCATCTGAAAGTTGGACAATGAATAAGGGAGAATGAAGGGTGGGTGCATTTGAATTGTGGTGTTGGCAAACAGCATTCACTGTGTCATGTACTACCTAAACAAATAAACCTGTCCTGGAGGAAACACACACAAGTTGCCCTTTGGAGGCAAGGATGGTGAAACTTCATCTCAGGTACTTTAGGCATGTCCAGAGGGTACGCTTTACCAACACAATTCAAAGACATTGATTCTTCTGTCATCTTTATTCACTGTCCAACTTTCAGAAGCAAGGAAGAAACTGAAAATACCCTGGCTTAGATCAAGTGCTCCCTAAACTGACACCCCTGCTCTTTAGAACTTTGGAAAGGTCCCAGGAAGCAGACTTTCCCAATGCAACAAACATATCTTTTGTTTTCATCACTGCCATTAACATAGGTGTTGACTTGGAACTCAAGTAAAATGGAATCACTGATAACGTCAATCTCTTCTCCCTTTATTCTGATGTTGGCTATGGTTCAGTGGTAAGGATTTTTGCTTTCTTCATGTTGAGATGTTGAAGGCTGTCATCTTTGATCTTCTGCAGTCAATGCTTCAAGTCTTCTTTACTTTGTTTTTTTATTTTATTTAATTATTTTGTGTGTGTGTACCGTCAAATCAGATCTGACTGGTACAGGAGGAGATTGCCCCTCCTTCTCCAGTAGAGTATCTGGTGGATTTGAACTGCATACCTTGGGATTGCAGTGCAGCTTCTTGTCACTAGACCACCAGAATTCCCTAAGTCATCTTCACTTTCAGCAAGCAAGGTTCGGTGTGTCATTTGCATAAAACAGGTTGTTGATGAGATTTCCTCCAATTCTGATTCCATGTCCTCCTTCATAGAGTCTAACTATTAGAATTAGTTGCTCAACATACAGATTGAACAGGTCTGGAGAAAAGATACAACCCTGATGCACACTTTTCCTGATTTTAAGCAGTGTCGTGTTCTTTCGTTCTGTTCAGACAGCAGCTTCTTGGTCTGTGTATAGGTTTCATAAGAACACAATTAAAAGTTCTAGGATTCCCATTCTTCTCAATGCTAGCCATGATATGTTATTATGACTTTGCATAGTCAATAAAACATACATAGACAGTTTTCTGAGATTCTCTGCTTTCAGCAAGGATCTATCTGACATCAGCAATGATATCCCTGGTGCCATGGTGCCTTCTAAACCCAACTTGAGCTTCTGGAAGTTACCTGTGAATGTACTATTCCAGTCATTTTTGGATAATCTTCAGCAATATTTTGCTTGCATGTGATATTAATGAAATTGTTTGATAATTTCCACATTGCATTGAATCTCCCCTCTTGGGCAGAGGAACAAACATGGATCTCTTCCATTTGGCCAGGTAGCTGTGTTCCAAAGTACAAGTTTCAATGAAATAGAGGAAGATCGTCAAAGAGATGAATTGATGCAGTGCTTGTAATGGCAGAGATATGACGCCACAGGGTAGGGCAAGGTGTGTTTTGTTGTTCATGGGATCTTCCAGATTTACATATTCATGAAAACTATACTCAGAGTCCTCTAGCTATAAATAAGAGAAAATCTTTTCGTTATAAGGACCTCCAAGTTGCTGTTGTTCTTAGAGCTCTCTAACCAAGAACTCCCCACTTGGACAACATACACATACACATACACATACACATACACAGAAGCGTCTCCTCTCCTCTATTCTCCTGGAGTCTCTTGACCCTTTTTTCTCTTCTGGTGGTTACTCACCACTTGCCTTTATTTCTTACATTTTTTTTTTACTATTATTAGTTTTAATAAAAATTTACAGTGACTGGATTTCCATTCATTCATTGTTGCACTTTTCTCCCTACCCACCCCTCCCCCAAGTTCACTTTTCTCTTTGAAAAGTAAAAGAAAAATTCTTTCATTGTTATACAGTCCCTCCCCCCAATTCCACTCCACTATGCAGCCTTCGTCCTGCACTCCTCTCATGACAATAATACCTAATCATATATCCCTTTAAAAACATTTCTTTCCCTCATCTGTTTCAATACAGTATACATTGTTTATCCCATCGTTCTAAGACCTCCTGCTTTGGGAGGTTGCCCACAACCACCGTCATCCCTCTGTCAATGTGACAGCCCCAGTTAACAGCTGTTGTGCAATGTTACTATCCCATGATTAGATCTTTATTCTTGATCAGCCTCAAACTACTTCATTTATTTACTTGGGAACATTCAGCCTGAAGACAGACATCTTTAGAATTATTAGTTGGTTCTAACTTATAGTGGTGATAGTGATTGCTGCACAGACCTCAGCATGTATGTTTTACTTTCCTATTGTTGATATAGCAACTGGGGTGATGGGGGTTGGTGTGTTGGAATTAGTGAGACTGGCTCAAGACAGGGAAGAATTCAGAGCTGCTGTACATAGGGTCGCTATAAATCACAGGTGACTCAGTGGCACATAAAAACAATAACATACTATGACAAGTTTGGAAGTAGGAGTGGCATCCACTTCCTAAATAACATGCCTCTGAAAACTCTATGAACTGTGATAAATGTCAGTAGTTGTAGAAGGGCTTCAGCCCTTTTGTTCATAGGGTTGCAATGAGTCATGCTCAACTTGAAGGCAATCAACAACAACAACAACAACAACAACATCATCACCATCCAGATCGCAGAGTATTTAAGGCCAAGGATAGATAGCATGCTACCCACTACAAAGAGAATAAAGCTTTACTGCCAGGTGGAAACCAGTAAATATTGAAAGAAAATTATGAAAGAAGCTTCAAAAGAGGTTAGAAACCAAATGTCAAAGGAGGGAATACTTACTGTGGATTTGATACATTTTTTAAAACCATCGATGTTGCCATAAAAAATCGGACTAGAAAATCTAAGAATCCTCACTCCTTCAGGTTCTTCAATCTAATATGTGGGGGGGGGGAAAGAAATAGCCTGAAGATTGTTGAAATGACAACTATTTTATTACCTCTATATTTATCACAATAGGAAAAAGAATAGTCTGGGGTTAAACAATTTCAGGTCTCAAGTATTTATTGAAATGTCTGGCAACTCACAATTGCTCAGAGGAGTAGGCAGCAGCACTCCACTTCCCTTCAATAGGGGCTTCATCCCATTTGCCAAAGTTCCTGGAGCCCAACAAATCACACTGCCATGTAGGATCAAAGTAAGAAGGGGCCTTAGCGTTCGACCTTCCCATTTCCAGAGAAAGAAACTCAAGTTCAGAACGGGAACACGATTGGCCTCAAGTTCATATCACCAGCACACTTTTTTTTAATTCCTCTAAAATGTTAACTAGCAAAAAAAAGAGTTGTGAAGATTGAGCCCTTTGCTGTCATCTGTTTGAATGCATTCTGACACACAATGGCCAGACTGAAAGCAGAAACCATGACTCAGAGCTTCATAGACTTGTCTAGTCTATAGGGAGCATAGACTTTTGTCCAGTACCATCAGCTGAGAAAATCGAGCGAGCCTCTAAGAAGCTGAGTGAACAAGCCTTTTACCACAACTAAGTCTAGAACACAAGGGTCCCAAAGTCAGCCAAATCCATGGCCAAAAATTCTCCAGAGGCATTTTTAAACATTTTTAAAGGACTTTGAAGACTCTTGACTCACACAAATGAGTCAGATTGTGGAAATAAATAAAATAACATCTACTGAAAATATTAAATATAAGGCCCAACATCTTTTAAAACTAAACTACAATTACTACGACTTTTTTGTCATTTGAGGTTTTTTTTCTTTTCATATTCTCTTAAAAATTCTATCATTTTCATCTTTGCTTTTTGTGTACTTCACTAGTACTTATGAAGCTTTCCCCATTTTAAATTTTATTTGTTTTAATTTTCATTTTTTTAAAGCAGAGTTCACAGCCCACTATCAGGACATCTAGTCGCTTTGTTCTTTATGTCCTGTGCTATGTGTTATTATATTTTTCTGTCCCAAGGATCAATCAAAATATCAGATAAAGCTCTCTGTGACAAAGAACTTGAAGGTCTCTTGTTAAAATTGGCTGAAGAAAATCTGGCAGGGATTTCAGCCAATTTCACAGAAGATAAAGACCACATAAAAGAGAAAGAGAAATCTTTTCAACTTCTAGAAATAATGTAATTGTTTTTTGTTTTTTTAAAAATCCCTCTTAAAATGGTTTTACATTAAAGTAGTCTTTTCTGAAGATCAGTGACACTGATTAGCATGGAGAGAACTCATGTAAATCATGAATATCAGAGGGCACATTGAGTAAAAAATTTTCATGATACCCTCAAAAGTTTTGTGGACTTCTATAATAATAGCTCTTTGTTTGGCTATGTTATACTTAACAAGGTAAATGAGAATAGGAGAGTCCTACAATTCTAGGCTACCAAAACCAAACCCAGAAAATACGTCACAAAAGCACTCACATTTTTGTAACTCTTGATACTTCTGTAGATGTCTGTGCTAGGGAAGCTTCCAAGACCACTCCATGAGGGACTAGAAAAAGAAAAAGAAAAAAGATGAGTGAAGTGTTTACCTCAAAAAATAACAGGCGGGGAGCTCTGGTAGCCTAGTGGCAAGAAGCTGTACTGCAATCCCAAAGGTACACGGTTTGAATCCACCAGATGCTCTGCCGGAGAAGGAGGGACAATTTCCTCCTGTACCAGTCAGATCTGATTTGATGGTACATGCACAAAAAATAAAAAAAAAACCAACACAGGCATATTTTGGAATAAAAAGTTAAAAGGAAGAACCAGTATAAAAAAAAATAACATCTGCCATCCTGGTGTTTTTGGCCTTCCTCTTTGCAGCTGCTGACATTTTCCTCTGAAATGAACAGCTGGTGTTTGTGTGGAAGTGGAGGAGAAGAACCGTGACTCTTCAGAGAGTTAAGAGAAATAGGCAGCATCATACATTCACGTGCATAACAGTTTATAGGACAAACATAGCATACTCACATATGTTTCATCTTAAGGTCCACTATAACTTTGAAGGGGAGCTCTGAGTGACTGTGGCTTAGTTGAGTGAGGAGTTGTGCTGCCAACTCAAAGGCATGTGGTTCGAATCTACCAGTGCACAGCGGGAGAAAGATGGAAAAATCTCCTCCTTTGAGATATACTGCCTCTAAAATTCACTACCGGGTCAGTTATAAATTGTTTCTGACTTAGATAACTGCACATAACAACATAGCTTTTAAAGGGAGCTCTGGTGGCGTACGTAGTCCATAAAGAGTTGCATTGCTAACCCGAAGGAGGTTCGAACCCACAACCTGCTCCTTAAGAGAAAGTTGGGCAGTCTCTAGAAATGTGCCTTTTATAGCCTCAGGAACCCAAAGGAGATTCAACTATTTCTGACTCAATGGAAGTGAGTGAGCATAACCTTGAAAAGTTTCCTGAGAGGTACAGTCTCTGATCAACCTTAACCTAAAGGGTGGTGGTTCAAACCTATCAGCAGAAGAAAGGCTGGTGATTGGCCTCTATGAAGATTATAGCCAAGAAAACCCTTTGGGGCAGTTCTACTTCATAGCACTAGGGGTTGCCATGAGTTGGAATGCACGCCACAGCAATGTGTGTGGCTTTACTTTGAGGAGTGTTTTTAAAATTTTTAATCCTGAAAGTCCAGTAATATTATCTTCATTTGTTTTAGATGAGTAAACTCAGGTCCAGAGAAAGGGCGGGCCTACAGGCATGGAATCAGTCAGTCTTTAGCCTGTAGGTCTTCTAAGCTTGGCGCAGTGCCTGGTACTCTCTTGTGAATGATGGTAATTTCCTGACGAAATATGGAGTCTGCAAGTGATCATATTAGTCTCATTTTATAGAAATAGGAGCCTAAGAGGACTGGAAATAAGCACTTCCTGCTAACCAGACTCTTGATTTCCTGTTCCTGATGCAATCAAATAAATCCTATGATTCTTCAAGCATAACTAGGGACATGTGTTAAATACAGTTTGTGAAGAGAGAGTATCTGTTTGGGGTACTTTGAGCAATGTGCTCTCTGGACCCATGTTGTCATTATGAAATACTGCTTTTTATTGGCTCCAAGACTACTTGCCAAATCAGCTAAAAAGTGCTCCTGATTTCTCCTCAGCTTGTGCTGCTGTGTCAATTTTTAACCTAAAGCACCTCAGGGAAACAATCTCTCCTTCATACTCCTCTCCCCAGCCACAAACTCAAAAGGAAGAGTGTGAGAGGAGGTATCTTCTGAGTACTTTCTGAATCATTTCCCAGCAGCAAATTGGGCTCCTTGGGAGATTGTCAGCTCTCCTGGCCCCTGGGCATCCATTAAGGTGCTGAGACAATAAACACAAGCCTTCTGGGTAGATACCAACCTGTCAGGGTAAAGAAGGGGAGGGCAGGGGCGAGAGGGATCACTGGTTAAGGGGCAGGAAAAACAGGCCTGTGCTAAGCTGAAGACTTTTGTGTTGATGTCTTCCCAGGTTTTTTGGTCCTTCATGCCCAAAGCAGACAGAGAAGGGGCCAGAAGTCCAGGAAGAACAGAATGCTGAGGAGGAGAGACTGTTACTTGCCTTAACCCATAGCAGGAGAGTCTTTCAAGGGTCAGAACAGAATTTTTAAAAGCCAGCTCAAAAAAAAAAAGCCAGCTTCAGTCTCCCACCCACTTACAAGTTATTTCACATTATTTTAAATCATGTCTTTGCTGCTTCCCTCTGCATGTGATCTAATTATGTCTACTGCATATGATCTAATTATATCTGCTTGTCTTAGCCTTTATTTGGTATATGTCTTATTTGGCAGGTTTTAAGGAATTTTACCTACTGTTCACTTGTCCTACTATGCGTTACAGACTGTGGCGACCTCTTGTTCTCAAATGAAGAAAGGAAACTAAATATATTGGGACACTGTCTTGTCTGAGCTTTGGGCCAGGAGCTGAGATCTCATTTCACTTGATGAATAAACTACAAAACCATCTCAGTCTTTCCGTTAAGTCTCACAGTGACATCAAAGGAAAGCCTTGGAGTAGAGCATGTGACTGGCGGATAGATTTTAGAGTGAGCTAGATCTGAGTTCAAATCCTCACTCTGCCATTTATTAGCTGTGTGAGTTCAGGCAAGGTTCTTAACCTTTTTGAGGTAGGATCTTCTCACTTAGAGAATGAGAATAATAAAACCTGCTCACAGGATTTGTTTGAAGATTAAATATAACTCATGTACTGTGTCATTGTGTGCTTACTTCATAGAAGCATTCAATATATAGTAACAAGGTGCACTTTTTTTAAAAGCCATGAATTCTTTTCTATGCATCTGAAAGTTGAACAATGAGTAAGGATGACAGAAGAATTGATGTGCTTGAACTGTGGTAGAGGAGAAGAGTACTGAATGTCCTATGGACTGGCTGGCAAAAGAACAAACAGGTCTGTCTTCAAGGAAGTGTAGCCAGAGTGCTCTTTAGAGGTAAAGGTGATGAAATTTCATCTCACACACTTTAGGCATGTTATCAGAAGGGGTCAGTCTTCAGAAAAGGACATTACAAATTTGAACAATTCTTTCAATTGCCCTCACCCCATCCACCCATCAAATTGTACGATCCAATGATTAATCCCCTGTCCCCCCTGTACATCCACATCTCTCTGCTTCCAGCCTCTACCACCCCTTCTGGATCCTTATACGCATTCTACAATTTTGTAAATAAACTAGTGGGGAAAAAAAGTCAGCTTGGTGGGGGGACGGGAAGGAGAGGGGGTAAAATGTGCAAAAATGAATGAATGAAAATCTAATTTTTCTGTAAATTTTTTTGGTCACATTAAAATGAGAATGAAGACAAAAACTTCTATTTAAAAAAGAAAAAAATACCCATTACACTGGGAAATGTGGAGGGTTATAGAAAGAGGAAGACCCTCAACATGATGGACAGACACAGTGACTGTCACAATAGGTTCAATCATATCAGAGAGAGTGACAAGGGACAGATAGGACAAGGTTCAGATTTGTTGTTCATAGGGACTCTATGAGCATAGTCAACTCAATGGCATCTACCAACAACAGTATTTATAGGAGGCCTGGTGGTGCAGTGGCTAAGTGCTCAGCTATTAACTGTAGTTGTTGACCATTGAGTCAGGACCAACTCACAGTTCACCTTCCAGTGAATTTACAGAGGCAGTAAATTGTACCAGAAGAGACCGCCCTTCTTTCTCCTGAAGAGCAGCTGGTGAGTTTGAACCGTGTTCCTGAGTTAGTAGAACAACTTCTTACCACTAAGCCACTAGAGCTCTGTAGGCTGGCTGTTCAAACCCACCAGGGATAAACCCACGTGGGATAAAGATCTGGCAGTGTGCTTCTGTAAAGATTTACACGTTGGAAACCCTCCTTGGTGCTACAGGTCTCTATGAGCTGATATTGATTTGATAGCAAAGGGTGTGGTTTGGGATTTTGTTACTTACAACTGAACTCTCAGGACCACTGTCAATAATGCAAACATAAGGCCAGCTAGTAAACCAAGATCTAGCCCCAGAATAATGGATGCCAGGCAGGTGAACACCCAGATCACCTAAGGAAAAGACAGAAACAATACCATCAGTTAATTCATGAGGTGCCACCAGGAGAGAGACTACCTGTACAAACAAGATCAATCGTTAAAAGAAAAATGTACAGCCTTTAAAAAATACATTCTGGGTGAGCTCTGGTGGCCTAGTGGCAAGTAGCTGCACTGCAATTCCAGAGATGAGCGGTTCGAATCCACCAGAAGCTCTGCTGGAGAAGGAGGGACAATCTCCTCCTGTACCAGTCAGATCTGATTTGACAGTACACACACACACACACAAAATTAAAATAAAATAAAAAATATATATTCTTTATTCATTTCATATTTATATAAACTAGAAATTGGCCTTCCCAATATAAGTCAATTGTTTAATTTTACTTCATATCTTTTTCATTTTTTAAAAAATAGTGAATGAATCACATGCTTCAGAGGGAAATACTATTTAAAACAGTGAACACTGGACACTTACGGTGCCAAACTTCACCACCAGCCCCAACCTTCTTCACTATTGTATCCTCTTTTACTAGCATGTAAGGAGCCCTGCTGGTATAGTTGATCATATGATACATTATAAACTGGAAGACCAAGAGTTCAAACCCACTTGAGAGAAGAAGGTGCACAATCTCTTTCCATAAAGACCAGCAGCCTTGGAAAACTGATGGAGGGTTATTTTATGAGTCAGATTTGACTAATGGCAATGAATTTGGGTTTTATTTGGGTGTATACAGGCTTTTCCTAGGTATTTTTTTGTTTTCAAATACAAGCAAGTATGACTATTCAAGCCATGGAACAAAACCAAAACCTATAACTTACAACTCACTGACATCAAGACAGTTCTGACTTGTAGTGATGCTCTAATCAGATTTCCAAGACTGTCAATCTTCATGAGAGATGACAGGCCATCACTGTCCCGGGAAGAAGCTGGTGAATTTAAACAGGAGAGATGCTTGACTTTTGGTGACCAGTCGAACAATATGCCACAGGCTGTGCGACCAGAGCTTGATAGAACTACACAGCATGTCCTGGCTCCTCGTCCTTTAGCATATTGTGCACATGGTCCTCTTCTGCAGTGGTCTTTTTATGGAACTATTTGTCATGGAGACCTTTATGCATCATCCTATGTGAAGGCTTTCTCGATCTCTTTATCTATCCTGGTTTAAGTTAGGGCAGAACCTGGAAGGATTTTCCTGCTGATGTTAATACATTATTTCTCAGAATAGCTATGCAGTGGGTGACTGATGGGGATGATCATCAGTTTGGCTTTCCATATTTTGTTTTTGTTCTTGAATTTTTTTTTTCTTGTTTTGTTCTTTTAAGTTTTAGTATTTGTTTTTTTTGGCTTTGAAAGGCCAAGGAGTGCATGAATAAGTTTCATCTGGGCAATACGCTAAAAACGGGTCTCTCCAGAGGTACAGGGCATTCACTAAACGGTTCCTGTGGAGGACAGTCCGCCTTAGTTTACACACAGGGTTCGTATTGTGTGCTGGCATCTCCAAAGCATGATAATATTGAGGAGAAAAGAAGACACAGATATGGCAGGAAGTATGTGCAAGGAAAGCATGATTTCAGAGGAAAAGGGCGGGCAGTTTCTTACCGCATCGATCTTATTCTGTCTCCACAGACGGGGAACATCACACACTTGCATAAACATTCCTTTCAGGTTGGCAATCACAACACCTGCCAAGACCGACTGCCGAGAGAGACAGGGGAGGCTCTGTTACTCAGGGGGATGGTTTCCCAGGTGACAATTCTTACCTCCCCTGTTAGGTCTCTGGTTGTGGGAATAGTGAAGGGAAATGACTCAATCAGTGTGTAGAGAGGTGGGGTCACATACCTTCTGCAAGGGTTCCAGCAGCTTTCCCAGGGCAACAATGGCAATCAGGACAATCACAGCAGAGAGGATGCCAGCAACCTGAAAGACACACATGTCCGGTGAACACAGCCCGGCCTCGGCCCTCGTGTCTTCTGCTCACTGTGTACATGAGACGACCATTGACGGACACCCTGAGTGACTTCCCACGTCCCCCTTGTGCTCACTACTATAGAAAGAAATGAAAACCATCTGCTGAAATGATACCAATGTGAGCAAAATTAGAAAATGTGTATTATTAATGCTTTGGCAGAGAGGGATCCTGTGGCTCAGTGGTTAAAAAATTGGCTGCTATCAAGAAGGTCAGCAGTTAGAATCCAGAAGCGGTTCCTTAATAGAAAGATGGGGTAGTCTGGGCTCGTGAAGATTTATAGCCTTGGAAACTGGAAACCCTACAGGGCAATTGTACAGCAGAGACGTTTGGGAGAATGTACACATTGAGGAAAGCCAGTTTGCCCTGTGTCTTGTTTGGACATATTAACAGTGATCAGTTGCCATGAAGTCAATGCTGATCCACACAGGGCGCAGACTGTCAGAGCAGACATGTGCTCCATAGGGTTTTTGGGGGGTTCTGTTTGTTTGTTTGGTTGGTTTTTTGTTTGGTTTTTTTTTTCTCCATAGGGTTTTAAATGTAAATTGTCATGTCTTTTTTACTGAGACTTCTCTAGCCAGACTTAAACCTCCAACGTTTTGGTTAACAACCACGCACTTCACCATCTGTACCACCCAGGGATTTGTACAAAGAACTAGAGCTGGAGAATCAAAAGGGAAGAACTCGCTCAGAACTTCTCAAGCTGAAAGAACTGAAAAACAAATTCAAGCCTCTAGTTAGAGCACTGAGAGATGCTATGGGCAAAATCTTGAATGATCCAGGAAGCATCCAAAGAAGATGGAAAGAACATACAGAGAGTCACTGCATCAAAAACAATTGGTTGTCACGGAAAAATGTTAGGAAGTGCAATATGAGCAAGAGCCAATGACAGTTGAGGAAGAAGTTCAAGCAGCTGTGAAGGTACTGGCAAAAAATAAGACCCCGCAACTGATGCAATACCAAATGGCATGTTTCAACTAACAGATACAGTCCTGCACAGGCTCATCTGTTTATGCCAAGAAATTTGGAGGACAGTTATTCAGCCAACTGTTTGCAAGAAATCCATATTTGTTTCCATTCCCAAGAAAGGTGATCCAACAGAATGTGGAAATTATCAAACAATATCATTAATATTACACACAAGCAAAATATTGCTGAGGATCATCCAAAAAATGGCTAGAACAGTTCACTGACAGAGAACTTCCAGAAGTGAAAGCTAGGTTTAGAAGAGGCGGTGGTACCAGAGATGTAATAGCTGATGTCAGATGTTCCTGGCCGAAAGCTGAGAATACTAGAAGAATGTCTGGTTTTTATTGACTATGCAAAGGCATTTGACTGTATGGATCATAACAAATTATGGCTAACATTGAGAAGAATGGCAACCTCAGAACACATAATTATGCTAATATAAAATCTATAACTAGACCAGGTAGTTGTGCAAACAGAGCAAGGGGTCTGTACATGGTTTAAATCAGGAAAGGTGTGCATCAGCATTGTATCCTTTCTCCAAATCTATTCAATCTGTACTCTGAGCAATTCAAGAAGCCGGACTCTATAAAGAAGAATGTGGTGTCAGGATCAAAGGAAGACACATCAACAACCTGCATTATGAAGAGGACACATCCTTGTTTACTAATAATAGTAAAGAGGACTTGAAATGCTTGCTGCAAGAAGATCAAAGAATACAGTCTTCAATATGGATGACAGCTCAACATCAAGAAAACAAAAATCTTTACCACTGGACCAAATGAGCAACATCATGATTGATGGAGAAAAGATTGAAGTTGTCAATAATTTCATCTTACTCAGATTCATAACCAACACCCATGGTACCAGCAGTCAGGAGATCAGGAGATTTATTGTAATGGGAAAGTCTGCAGTCAAGGACCTCTCCAAAGTACTGATGAGCAATGATGTCAGTTTGAGGACTAAGGTGCACCTGGTTCTGTCCATGGTCTTCAGTCGCTTGCTATATATCTGAGATTTGGGCAATGTTTAAGGATGACAGAAGAAGAACTGATGCCTTCGAGCTGTGGTGTTGAAGAGTACTTAATATCCCAAAGACTGCCAAAAGAATAAACAGGTATATCTCGAAGAAAGTGTAGCCAGAGTGCTCCTTGGAGGCAAAAGTTATAACGCTTTGTCTCATATATTCTTGGAAAAGTGGAGGAAAGATGAAAGTGAGGAAGACCCTCAACTAGATGGATTGTCACAGTAACTGCAGTAATGGACTCATGTATGTCAAGGATTGTGAGGACGACAGGATTGGAGAGGGTTCAGATCTATTGTTCATAAGGTCACCATGAGTCATACTCAACTTGACAGCATCTAACAACAACAAGGGATTCTGAATACAGTCTTGACATCACTTCAGGAGACCAAACCTCTAGTTATCTGTCATAGCAGGAATCATTGACCACCTCCCTTTCCTCCACAATACATTTCAAACTCCACTTATTGCCATTGGAACCAATTCATAGCTGACCCTCTAAAGAATTTCTGGAGTCTGTAAATTGCATAGGAAGAGATTTCCCATCTTTCTCCCATGGGGCCACTGGTGGATTCGAACCACTAGGTAGGACTGGCCTTTGAGTTAGCAGAACCACTCTCTCTATGCCACCACAGCTCCCTTTATCCCAACAATATGTCATATGGAAATAAATTCTTATAGCTCGAATGATTTAATCTTGAATTCTTTTGCATCATTGAAGCAAGAGCAATAGAAATGATTTTGATAACACTTTGTACTGGTAGCACATGGCTCCCACCAGTCTTAGAGAAAACAAATCCACCAGCCATATTACAAGTTAAAAATGTCACATCTGCTTCACGGGTGATTATGACAGAGGCTGTCTCTCAGCAGGCCCAGGCATCTGCCCCTCAGTGACTTTTAACAGTGGTTGGTGGATTTTAACAGTGACTGCAAAACACACAGAAGCTTCAAAAATCTTTACCTTCACTGCCAAAAAGCTCTCCTAAGATAGAGAGAGGCTGAGGGAGTGGGGCTACTCTCTGCTTTGATTAGCTCATCAGTGAATTGTCTGCTGGGACAGCTGGAGCGGAAGTGAAGAACAGAAGCTCTGAAATAAAGGAGGAGACAGGAAACCAGAGGCAGAGCAATCAGAGAAGAGGCAATAAAAATTACATGGAGCCCAATCACTAAGTCATGCTAGAGGCTAGAGTGAAGGAGAGAGACAGAAGGAAACAGAAATAGAAAATGAGAACACGTAAGGAAATTTCACAGTCACACTAATTCGTGGAAAACAGATCATTTATGTTCAGATGACAGTTGGCCAAGCCTAAGGCTATATTACATATAACTAAACAGTTTGTTTTGTGTATCCAGGCCTGTGATGTAATGTTCTTGGATTCTTAGCTCTGTCTTCAGGTTCCCGGTACCTTGGTGAAGGTCAGCTATGAGTCAGTTCTGACTTAACAGTAAGTAACAACTACCAACTCCAAGCAAGGGTGCTGATAACCTCCTCCCCTCGTTTCTTCCCTCCTGGCCTCTCTCCTCTCCTCTCCTTCCTCCCATGCATTTAAATCACCAGCTGCTATCCAGATGACTCAAATTCACGGTGGTACAAACTCCTGGTGACTCCCATTCAGGACAATCCCATGTGTGTCAAAAATAAAACTAGATGCCATACGGTTTTCCATGGCAGCTTTTTCAGAAGAGGCCTTTCTTCCAAGGTGCCCATGGGAAGAATCCATCCTTGATTTTTTTTTTTAATAGTTTATTATTTTGTGTGTGTGTACCATCAAATCGGATCTGACTAGTACAGGAAGAGATTGTCCCTCCTTCTTCGGCAGAGCAACTGGTGGATTCGAACCACACACCTCTAGGATTGCAGTGCAGTTTCTTGCCACTAGACCACCAGAGTTCACCAAAACTCTATCCTTGAAACATCTGGTTAGGACCTAAGCATGTTAAATATCTGTACCTGTCAGACTTTTCCATGTAGTTTCTTACCCAATATTTATAGTCTTTCACATGCCCATTGAGCCTCAATGACAAGAAATATGGAAATTTGGGGATAGAGATCACAATCAACTGCTTAACTCATGCGAGAGAGTATTACTATTATGTTGTTGTTACTACTACTGCTACTACTACTTACACCTACTCAAAGTATCATAGACAGATGACAGAAGAAGAATTGATGACTTTGAGCTAAAATCGTGAAGAAAAGTACTGAATCTCACATTGACCACCAAAACAAACAGGGATGGCTTGGGGAAGGTGCAGCCAGAGTGCTCCTTAGAGTTTCATCTCACATACTTTGCGCATGTTGCTAGGAGAGGCTATTCGTTGGAGGGGGACATCATGCTTGGGAAGGTGGAGAAATGGCACAAAAAAAGACCACAGACCAGGTGAATTGACATAGTGGCAATTGGAAGGGGCTAAAGTGTGTCAGAGATTATGAGAAAAGCACAGATAAGTCAGGGTTCAGGTCTATCGTTCAAAGGGTAACCATGGGTCATACTCGACTCTGTGGCATCTAACAACAAAAAAGCATATATAATATATATAATAATAAGCCCTAATTATGAGGACCAAAGGCTAGTTTTGGTCATTTTATTAAAATTGGTAAGGGATTAATCACCTTTTCGTACTTTATTAGGTGGGCTTTAGGGAAGCACTATAGATTTTATATCCATGAGTAGGTTTGATGACTATGAAATTCTTCTGTAAGTGTAATCAGCTAAAGAGTAGCTTGCAATTAGAACTATCTTTTCCATGAGTCAGTAGGAGTCAGAAAAGGGGTAGGATGGAAAGAACAGACTGCAATGAATAGCTCTTTTGCAACCTGTATTTGTGTTGAAAAGTTGATGCCCACCAACATTCATTCTTCTGTTCATTCACTCAGCAGTAAATGCTGAAAAGTCATTCCTTCTTACATGCCAGGTGCAAAATACATTTCACAGATACTAAGACTGTGTTCCCACCTTCTGAGTTGATGATGACTAGAACAATAAGCATTTACAAATACATGCCAGGACTTTATTGAAACCTCACAACATCTCAATGAAGTGACGCAATTATTTTCCCATTTTGTAAATGCAGAAATCGGGGTTCTAACACAACAGAAGGCATGAGAACAATGAGGGGAGACTTGCCAATTTATTCGGTCATGAGTTCCTGGATTTCAGTCCAGACACTTAGACTTTTAACCTCAGAACTTAGTTTCTATTTCAGTAATTAAATATCAAGCCATTTCTGAGTGAGATTCATTCTTCAATGCTGAAATGTTGGCATCCTTCATTCCTAAATATAATACATGCCTGTGTGTGGCAGGGGATATTAGTTTACAAGCACACTATTATACCCCCAAGTCACCTGCCAAGGAGGTCATTTTACATGGGCATTCTTATTGGAGAGGCCAACCTGTGCCTCATTAGAGTCTGACAGTAACAGCAGGAGATTGGATATCAGCAGTTTGGAATTTACCTGTACCCACCTAAAGGTAATGTGTTCTGGGGAGCTTCATCTAAAAAGAAAGCAGCATATATTGCCTCTGCTGACAGCTGGGGTACAATCTTAGCCATGAGCCCTGACCATGTCTCCCTGATCATAGATCCCTAGTTATGCCCCTTGGGACATTACTGGCCTGCATTATTTTACCTGATCTAGAAATGGGGTAGGTGGTGAAAAGTAAAGTAAAAAGAAAAAAATGAAAATGTAATAATAAAGAGAAATATTTTGAAAAAGAGATGGAAACAACCCAAGTGCCCATCAACAAACAAATGGATAGAGAAGCTGTGGTATATTCACATAATTGAATACTACGCAGCACTGAAAACCAAGGAACTCATAAAATACACAAAAATGCGTGACTCTGGAGGACAGCATGCTGAGTGAAATATCTCAGTCACAAAAGGACAAATATTGCATAGTGCCACTGTTATAAAACAGGACTGACATGGGAGTTGGGGGGAAATTAAGAAAAGAGGGCATAAATAATAAACATTGCATTTAAATAGATGAGGAAAATAACTGTCTAATAGAAATAAATGATTAGGTATTATTTGCATGACAACAGTCCAGAATAAGAGGTGCATAGCAAAGTAGACTGGGGTTGGGAGTAGGGAGGAAAATGTGCTACAATGAATGAATGGAAATCCAGGTTCTCTGTTAACTTTTGTTAAAATCTCAATTAAAAAAATTCTGTTTAAAAGGAACTAGGAATTGGATGAGGCCCATTTTTGCCCCCCAACGCTAAAGATCCACCATACATGGGAAGAGAAGACCCCCTGCACCGTGGGGATGATTTGCGTTCCCTGGGGTCAGCCACTGCCAAAGCCATTTTTCTCAGTGACTTCCTCTTCCAGTTGTGTCTCTACCTCAATAAGACCCTATTTCAAGACTAAGCATAATACTTTTCTAGCCATTAAGTTTTACTTGGTTCTCCTTTGCATTTCCAACTCTTAAATAATATTTCTGTCTGCCTTGGGAAGAGTAAGCCCTCCAGGCACAAATAGTACAATTTCATAGCCTGCTCTTTGACTCCATGTATAAGGTTAGTACCTCTGACTTCCTGTCTACTTGTGTGACCTTTGAGAATGGAGTCAGAACTTTTTTTTTTTGAGGGAAGGGCTAAGAAGAGATTAACAGGATGCAGGATTTCTGGTTCCTTTGTAAAACCAGCACCTTAAAACAAGGCCTAAATTTTCAAATTTATGCTCATCAAAGTCATGTTGGAACTATTTTGGTCATCTTGTGAAGCACCTTTAAAACTAGATTTGAAAACTCAAAGTCAAATTCATCACAGTCAAGTTGAAACTGATTTATAGCTGATCGTTTGTCTGGGTTTTCCAAGGTTATAAATCACTTGGGAGGGGATTGCCCATGGCCAAGGTTAATTCTACATTCAAACTTGAGGAACAAAAACCTTAGGAAGAAATGCCAAAATGCTACAACAAAAATATTTTTGGCTTCCAAATTGTTGCTTAATGGGAGCAAAGGCCTTTGAAGGAAGTTCCTGATCCTTGTAAAGGAAATGTGAATACATGCTTTTCATTTTCCTGATAAATACAATCACTTACTAAGCCACAAAGTGTTCTGACTAGGCCCTTTTAATCCCCAGATAACAAATAGGTAACAATCACCGTTGACCGGATTCCATGTAATTTGTTATTGACCCGATGACATGTAATTTGTTATTGTTCCTGGGAAAACAGGTAGCAATCTGCCAGAGGAGCCCCCATACAAAGACTTTGGAGAACTGCTTTTTTAGAAAACTAAAACCATTCATTGTTTTTCTGAGAGGCTTTCAGAGACAAGTATAGGAGCCAGAGAGACCTGGATGGGAGTAGATCAAAGAGCACAAGGCAAGTCCCTCTGTTCTGGGCCTGCTGTTCAGAGACACCTTCTCGACTTGCTCTTTGCAACTGTAAATGAAAGCTGCCGTTTTATCAAGAGGTTGCTCCTTACCTGCGTCTTTCCCCCAGTGCTCTCCTGGACAGCAGTACGTGACAAGGCAGTGGTAGCCACAAAACACGAGAAGAATCCTGAGAAGATGTTGCTGATCCCAAAGGCAATGAACTCCTAGAAGAGAGTGATGTTTCATGTGTAACCTTGGCATGGCCCTCATGGAGTATGTAGGGAGTTCTGGTGGCCTAGTGGTTAAGAAATTGTGCTGCCATCCCAAAGGCATGTGGTTCGAATCCAGCAGCTGCTCTGTGGGACAGTGCGATCTACTACCTCTGAAAAACCTGCTGGAGGGTCAGTTATGGTTCAGGTCCGACTCGACTTCACGCAACAACACAGAGTGTTTCAGCAATGCAAACTCCCAGACCGCCTTCCTGGTAACCCCAATTTCATTTTACTGTAAAAAGCACTAAAGTATCTTTTAAGACCTCAAGAATTTGGACTACAAGAGAGGCTTTATTTTTCAGTTATTTTTTTCCTTTTTATTTTTTTTAACTCATTTTAATGAAAGTTTACAGACTTTGGATTTTCATTCATTCAATGTTGCACTTTTCTCCCTGCCCATCCCTCCCTCCCAATTCACTCTTTTCTCTGAAAAGTAAAAGAAAAACTCTTTCCCTGTTATACAATCCCTCCCCCCAAGTCCACTCCACTGTGCTGCCTTCATTTTGGACTCTTGTCATGACAGTAATAATCACATATCCCTTTTAAACAGTTCTCTCCTTCATCTGTTTCAATGCAGTATACATTATTTATCTCATCTTTCTCAGTCTCCCCTCGACCCCTATGTCAGTCCTGTTTTACAATAGTAGCCCTATGCAATATTTGTCCTTTTGTGACTGAGATATTTTACCAGCATAATGTCCTCTAGGGTCACCCATTTTGTATATTTCATAACTTCCTTGTTTTTCAATGCTGCATAGTATTCCACTATATGAATAAACAATATACAGCTTCTTTATCCATTCGTTTGTTGATGGGCACTTGGGTTGTTTCCAGCTCTTTGCTTTTGTGAACAAAGCCGCAATAAACATGGGTGTGTATATATCTGCTTGGGTGGCAGTTATGATTTCTTTCGGGTATATTTCCAGTAGTGGAATTGCTGGGTCAAATGGTATTTCTATTTGCAACTTTTTGAGAACGCGCCATATAGCCTTTCATAGTGGTTGCATCATTTTAAACTCCCACCAGCAGTGAATACGAGTTCAGTTTTTGCATAACCTTGCCAGCATTTGATGTTTGCTGTTCTGTTAAATTTTGCTATTCTTACTGGGGTACGATGACATCTCATAGTTGTTTTGATTTTCATCTGTCTTAGAGCTAAAGATTTTGAATATTTCTTCATTTGTTTGTTGGTCATTTGAATGTCTTCTTTGGTGAAGTATCTGTTCATATCCTGTGCCCACTTTTGAATTGGGTTATTTAACTTTATCTTGTGGTACATGAGTATTTTATAAATTCTAGATATAAATCCCTTATCTGACATGTCATTACCAAACATTTTTCCCCAGTCTGTGGCTTCTCTTTTTACCCTGTTAGAGAAGTTTTTGGATGTGCATAGGGATTTGATTCTTAGAAGGTCCCATTCATCTATCTTATCCTCTCCTGGTTGTAGATCACAATCATTTTTTTAAGTTTCACAAGAGATAGTAACTGATCTTTTACTAAATTTCATTACCTCTTAGCCCTCACATAAATAATTTTTTCTCTTCCTCACATATTTTCTATGACTGAACATTTGCAATAAAGCGCATTATGATGAGGAAAGCTATTTTGCAGCTATATTAGTAATCACTTAATTGCTATAATTGCTACTCTGTGCTTTCATAAACATAACATACTTACAGATTTGTAAGCAATATAAAATCAGCTCACCTCATATGCTTAAAAAAACTGTTTTGTTGATATTAATTACACACTGAAATTGCCTCAGTTTGAAGTGGTTATACCAGGGGAGCTCTGGTGGCCTACTGGCAAGAAGCTGGGCTGAAATCTTAAAAGCACATGGTTCAAATCCAACATGCTCTGCTGGAGAAGGAGGGGCAATCTCGTCCTGTACCAGTTGGATCCAATTCGACAGTACACACATACAAAAATAATAAAATAAAAAATAAAAATAAAGAAATAAAGTAGTTACACCAGTTATTAATGGTATAACACTATTTTGTAAATATTATCTAGCTGTCATTTAACAAAACTGTGCAGGGGGAGGGGGATTAACCATGGAGTTGTACAATTTGATGGGTGGGGGGAACGGTGAGGGAAATTGGAAGAATCTCTTCTTGAAAACAATGTATTCAAATTTTGTAAATAAACTAGTATTAATTTTTTTTTAACCTAAAGATACTGGGTTGCATAAAGAAGTCTTACTTTTACATAATATGTTATTTTTGCATGCCCTGATGATTACTTCAGCTTATTCCTTTAAAAAGTTGTAACAAAGTGAAAGAGTATCTACATCCCAAAATTAGTTCAGATTAGCAAACATAGAAGGGAAATTTATCTCAGGAAGGAATGGTGGAAGAAATCAATGCTTTCTCCAACAGACACCAGAATCTTCTCCACTTAAGCTTTCTTCTTTTTACTCCTGTAACACTAGCTTGCTGTTATTGTGTGCTGTTGAGTCAGAAACAATCCATAGCTGACCGTCCAGGGGGTTTTCAGAGGCAGTGAATCACGTGGGAGGAGAGCTGGTGGATTTGAACCACAAACTTTAGGGATTGCAGCACAGCTTCTTATCTGTAGACCACCAGAACTCCCTATAACACTATCTTGGGGTGGGGGGAGCATTGGCCATACCTGGTTCCCATCAATGGTGTAATCATGCTTGATGGCATATACTTTTCCTACAGACACAGCAATAGCGTAAGCGACGACAGCGATGGAAAAGGATGCCGTTATCATCTCCGAAAACAAGCTCACAGGAAGCAGCACAGGAGGCAAAAATCTAGTGTGTTTACAAAAGGAGAATAAATACTGAGACAATCTGACCACTTTTCTCTACTTCACCAAATATCATTATCAACTCCGTCACATTTAATCTGACTCAAAAGAACAAAAAGCACTTGAGATGCACAGTGACAGTAGCATTGTTTTGACAAATTTTACTTAAAAGCTAATAGTATTTCACACTTTTTCTTTGTCTGATATCTGAGGGCCTGTAAAAGCTGCATTTTTTTAAACTATTAACCTGCTGTGCATCAGAGATTTGGAGAATTACCAAGGATGACAGAAAAGGAATTGATGTCTTTGAGATGTCTTTGAGTTGTGGTGCTGGAGAAAAGTACTGAGCATCCCATGGACTGCCAAGAAAATGAATAGGTCTGTTCTGGAGAGGGTGAAACCAAGATGCTCTTTGAAAGCAAAGATTTTGAGACTCCATCTCACATACTTTGGGCATGTGGCCAGGAGGGACCAGTCTTTGGAGAAGAATATTATGCTTGGAAGGGTCAAGGGACAGCGCAGGAGAGGAAGATCCTGGATGAGATATAGTAACATAATTACTGGGGTAATGATGGTAGATGTGTCAGAGACAGTGAGACCGGCTCAGGATAGAGCAGGGTTCAGAGCTATTTGCATATATATGGTCACTATAAGTTATAGTCGACTCAAAACAACAACAAATGCTGTCTCATCTATACATGAATGAACTTGGTTTTCTTGATTCTTTATTATCATACAAACTCATGTCATGTCTTTTCAAACTCTAGTTTGAAAGCTAGAGTTAAAACTCTAGTCTAGCTGTAAGAAGCAGTACTGCAATCCTAAAGGCACATTGTTTGAAATAAATCTACCAGCTGCTCCACTGGAGAAGGATAGGCAATTCCTCCTGTAGAGTTAACTGCCTCTGAAAACCTGCTGGAGAGCTAACTATGACTCAGCTCTAACTTGATGGCACAAAACAACAACAAACATTTCTCCTTACACAAGTGTAACTTCACCTTAAAGGTTTTTGAATGTAAAAGACATTCTCACCATGAAATGAGTTCTCCTGTATAATAAGATGTCAGGTCAATTAAAGAAATAAAGATAAAGGTGCTGAAAGTGTTTAAGTAAAAGGAAACATCTAAATCTTAAGAGCCATAACATTTAAAAATCTTCCTGAGGGAGGTATACATATGATATAATTAAACACTTATATGTATATACATTTAACTATCAGTATTTTATAATTATAGTGACTAAAGTACCTCAATTATTGTAGGGTCAAACAGCTATTGTTTATTACATGCATATACCAAATGACAAGACCAGAGCTACTCCATCAAAGGTATTAAGAACTAAACCTAAAAAAAAAAAAGAACTAAACCTAGAAGTTTAACATTATAATGTTGTAAAAAAAAAATTAAAAATTTGGGGGATGATCTTTCTTTGATGACTATCCATATGGTATAATTCTAGAAGTTCCCTGCCAAAAATATCTCCCCTACCTACCTCACTTATGTCTGAAGTTCCTTTAATAGGAAATGACACTTTTTGAAAAAAATATCTGTAATTAGGGAGAGGTGATAAAAAAGATTCTAATAGAAAGAAATCATAGGAATTGAAAACTAGTAAGCACCCTGGATATTGTTACACCAATCTGTCTCATTTTGTTAAAAAATGGGGTGAGGGGAACTGAGAGCCGGGAAAGTGAAGTGACTTGCCCAAGCTCGTGTATTAAGTCTAGACAGGTGAGGTAGACATTAGATGATTGCTGAGGTATCAAGTTCTACCCTTGTGTCCTTCCTTTCCCCACAGATGAGGCTATCTGATTCCCCACTTTCAGACTCCTGTTCTCCCCACATCCTATCCTAGCCTACATGTTGGCTCTAGGCAGATAGGATGTTGAGAATCTTGACCCAGCACTTGAATGACTTGATATCACATTAGCTGCTAGTCTGAGTGTGATTTTGGGCCTCACTTCTTAAAACTAGACCTCTATCTTATTTCTAAGCCTCAGTCAATCTTAGTTCAAGAAACTTGGCTATGTCATAACTTTCCAGTCCAAGAGAGGTCTAGTTTTGGCAGCAGCCTAATATCATGACTTGCCTGTCTGTTGTTGTATGCCATGGAATCAAAACACCAACCCATAGCTGACCTTCCAGTGGGTTTTTAAAGGCAGTAAATCACAAGGGAGGAGCTTGCTCATCCTTCTCCCACAGAGCAACTGGTGGACTCGAACTATCGGCCTCTGGGATTGTAGTGCAGCTTCCTACCACTACACCACCAGAGCTCCCTTGTGTGCCTATCTAGTTCTCCAAACATTGCCAGTTTTTACTAAAAGATAAAGCACAAACACTTGAAATTAAAGGGGCTAAATGCTAACCCCATCACTCCATAAGCAACTTTATGACTTTGGGGAAATTATTTCACCTTGCCAAGTCTCATTTTCTTCGGCTATTAATTAGAGATGATATACTCTTCTTCTTAAGGATATTGGGAGGATTACAAGAGCTCTGCATGAGCAATTAATCAATGCCTGCACTCATGAGAAGTGCTCAGTGAATGTTCATTATTGTTGCTTTATGTCTTCATGTTGGAATGCATAGGTGACACCGCTAGTGTGTTTTCAGAGGCTGTAAATCACATGAAAGGAGATTGCCCATCTTTCTCCCTTGAAATAACTGGTGAATTCAAACCATGTGACTTTGGTTGGCAGTACAGTACCTTACCATACTAGAAAAGTAAATGCTTGGAGAGCCTAAATGTGCTACTCATACTCCTACCATCCAATTGTCCTGGGCCTTAACAAGGCCAATTATTTACCCCAGCCTAATGCCCTGCCTGGACATCTTATCCTATAAGTTGACTTTTCCACTAGCTCTTACTTTTCAAGTTCTATACTTATTCGAAGACCTTGTCTGGCTCTATCATGAGATTAAGACTACTGGTAATATTTAAAGTAATAAAGTGCAAATATTTTCTGAAAATGACAGAAATAGACTACTACAAGTTCAAAATGCCAATAAAAAGAACAGTGAGATAAACATGACACCAGTGTCACATTTTTGTTTTAAATTAGCCCTGAACATAAGATAAACCACTTCTTGTTGTTGTTGAGTACCATCAAGTGGGAACTGACTCAGAGCTGACCCTCCAGCAGGTTTTCAAAGGCAGAAGATCCCAAGGGAGGAGATTGCCCATCCTTCTCCCACAGAGTAGCTGGTGGATTCAAGCTGCTACTTTCCAATTAGAAGGAAATGCAGCTTTGGGGAAGCACACAGGAAAGGACCGCAGTAACTCTGTTGACCTCAAACCTGCTGTTCTTCTACATGTCAGACTTTGAAGTACAAACAAAGCAGAGCAAATAACCTTAAAAAAAATAATAATGGTCTAGGGGTTGAGGGTGGGGGAAACCAAGAGGCCAAGGAGTTTGGTGGGTGAAGGGAAGGAGTGAAGGAGAAAAAAAAACAACACACACCACAAAAAAACACCAAACAATGTATATGAATGAAACACAATAAACAAAAAAATTATAGTGGTCTAACATTCAGAAGAGGGAGGAAAAAAAAATATATATATCCCCCACCACCGCCAGAACAGTAATGACATTTTTAATCTTTGTAAACTATACTAACATTCAGAAGAGGGAGAGAGAAAAAAAATATATGTTATGCATCAGAGAGTTGGACAATGACCAAGGAGGATAGAAGGAGAATTGATGCCTTTGAGCTGTGGTGCTGGAGAAGAGTATTGAGAATACCA